TACAAATTTATATAGGATTGCTACTTTGCTTGGATAAGGAATAAACTAATAAATAAAAAAAGAATATATAATTTTAAAAATTAACACAATAAATCTTTACATATTTTAAAACCATTTTCAAATTAATCAAGTAATTGCAATTTTCTTAAATGCAATTTCATAGATATTAAATATTTAATAGATAATTTGTCAAAATTTCTTATTACCTAATTTTTCTATCAACTAATTAATACTCACAGTTAGTAAAAAAACTTATATAAACTCAGTAGAAAATATGGCTTAGAAAATTCTATTTGAATTTCTTAATATATATTGTAATATATAGCAGCTATGTCCAATGAAGAACGTTTGAAGAAACTTTTATCAGACCTGGGAAAGGCTACTCTTCGTGGTGTTCGAAAATGTCCAAAATGTGGAACTTACAATGGATCGCGTGGTCTCTGTTGTAAAAACAAATATTGTGATGCAGTGTTCAAGGAACCTGGTGAAAAGCGGAAATTATCTACAGAAGCATGCAAGCTAATCACAGGTTCAACAGTGCAAGTGTTTTCTGTACGAGTCAAAGACAAGGGACCCGATTATCGTGGCTTTGTACAGTTACCATTGATAAATGCCACTATTTCAAATGATATTACAACACTTATTTCACAAACCACAGCATTATGTTTTGTTGATAGCTGTGAGAGAAGTTTTCATACTAGTGTTCTTAAATGTCATGTAAATATTATATAAGATTTTGTACATTGATAAAATTCTGTAATTATATTTATATTATATTTTTACATATGTATCTCTGTAATTTTATTTTTAGGAGAAAGGTTATTCAGAAAATATGTCCATATGTCAACACATTCAAACAGCATTAAAATGTTATGCTGAAGCACAACCATTAACTTTGAAGAATTCTATTTTATCGTCGTTAAATGTAAATAATGAAACAAAGCAAGAGATATGGCTGTTAGCGACAGAAACCTCAGGTCCCTTAGTACAAAGAGTCTCAAAGAATATAATGGCAGTGAAATGTAAAGCTTCCCCGAAACATCCTCTAGGCTATCTACACTTTTCTTTCTTTGTTAGTAAACTAAAGGATAGAATAGAACATCGTTACTTCTGTAGTTGTACTACATTTAAGGTAAATAAAATGCATATAATTTTTATAAAAAATTTTTTTCTGAAACAATTTGAAGAAAGATTGTTTGTTAATAAAATATATAGAATTTTTAAATTATCTGAATTATATATATAAATAATACAAATTATTATTTTTAATTAGAAAAAATTTTATTGAATATTTTATATATAGGGTACAACAAAAATAGGAGGAGATAAAGGAGTGGACGGTACTTCGTCCCAATTAAAGCGATGTGTGCATTTTTACGCATGCATTTGTGCTTTTGCTAGTGACCCAAAGTTATCTGAAGAGTTTAGTTATTACATAAATTTGGATCAAACACAATCTAGTATAGAAAAACCTCTAACAATTGTACCGCAAAATGAAGATAAAATTGTTGGAATTGGTAAGATTACATGCGCGTATATTATATATTTAGAAATTTATTTTATTGCCAATGATAATATAAAATTTCAGATCTCGATAGTTTAACCACCGACGAAACTGATACACATCTATTAATTTTTCGTGATGATACTCTAACTGTACAAAGTTTAGATGGAAATAGATTAGATTTAGATTCTATAAATTTAGATTCTTCGATTTTATCCCATGGTATTGTTGAAAATATAGAAGTGGAATGCGAGCGCAGTTTACTAGATGATAACAATATAATATCACAAGTAAGATACATAAAACATTTATATTAAAAAATATTAATACTTTTTCATTAATTTATAAAAAATTTAAAAAAACTAATCATTTCACAAATTTTTGAAGAATAAATTATTAAAATTATTAAATTATTTGTATATTATGCAGGTTCACAATTTAGAAGTAATTGATCAAAATGGTGTTCAATTGGGAGGAGGAAATACTATAAAGATACTGGATGATCAAGGGACAATTGATACAAAATACAATGTACTCAATAATAGTCAGTATATATTAAATGATAGTAATATAAAAGTATTGGATCCGAGTACATTGAAGGTTTTTGATGCCAATACTACAATCTTGGATGTGACTAATGCAAAGCTTGTCGACAATAATGTTGCCCTAAATAACCGTAGTGTCAAAATAGTTGACAGCAACGCAATAGTACATTATAATAATAAAAGTACATTAAATTCTGAAGGTAATGCAATGCAACCAACAATTTCGACGAAACGAAAAAGAGATGAGAAACATATGAATAACAGTAATTTGAATCTAAATTCGATTGAATTAAGAAAATCAAAGACAAAATCACAAATTGTTAAAAAATATCAAAATACTTGCGATGATCTAGATGAGGCCAGTACAAGCTTGCCATTTATCAAGTGGCTTGCTTCGATAACCGAACGAATAAATCAAACGATGCATTTCCAGTTCGATGGCAAACCCGATCCCTTAGTATTTCATGTACCGCAGATATTTTTTGACTGTTTGCGCGAACGAATCTCATGTGGCGGCAAAAAGAAACGCTTGCCGAATTCAACGACGGCGTTTGTCAGGAAAGATGGAGTACCGTTGGGAACGTTCACTAAATACACATGGCAGATTACAAATATCTTGCACGTAAAGAGTATTTTCGAGACGCCATATATACCTTTGGAGATTACAAGAAGTTTTGTGCAAAACGCAGATGGGACATATGAATTATATAAACGTGAGGAAACAGAAATAGATCGTTTTAAAAAGACAAATAACAACGCATTAATTAAACCATTAGAGTTGAAAACATATTTAAAAGTGGGTAAGTGAGAGTTTAGTGAGAATTTTATGCAAAGAATGATTGATTACTTACTAAATTATAAAATAAAAATAAGCAATCAGTTTAAGGCTAATTTCAGAGTCAAAGATGAAGGTGCCCAACGATTAAATTACAAAACATTAATTAGTTTTTATTGCGCAAAATCTTCTTTATTTTTGAACGTTTCGACTCTCTTTGGAGTCCTCTTCAGCAATATTACAAATCCTTATTTTCATTGAATATCCGTCAAAAGTAAGTCACTATCAGTGATTTATTGTTCCTAATAAGTTGGGAAGAGGATTTGGAAAGAGGACTCCAAAGAGAGCCGAAACGTTCAAAAATAAAGAAGATTTCGTATAATGGAAAGTAATTAATGTTTTGTCATTGGGCACCTTCATTTGCTTTGACTCTCATTAACCTTGAAGTAATTGTTTATTTTTATTTTAAAGATTGAGAGTTTTTTAATTTTTTGATATTTTTTACTAAATTATTTGTCAAAAGATTTAAGAGCTTAATTATTTATTTATTTAAAAAATTTATTATTAATAGAAAAGATGATATTAGATATTTTTATATAATATACGTTTTTATTTCATTTATTTTCAGGAAATACTTCTCCGAATCAAGTTGAACCTACACCATTCTTGATAGAATGGATACCGGATATTTTGCCAATTTCGAAGATTGGTGAGCTTAGAATTAGATTTGAATTTGGACATGTAAAAAACGAAACAAGCCATAAATGGAGGAAAATTGCTCTTTCAAAAAATGATTAAAATTTTTATTAATGAAATTAACGTTTTTACTTTTTTATCGTACATTTTTAAACAATATGTGAGAATTTATAAGACAAAGGACAAATATTATATTACATGACCTGTAATTGGAGAACTGTCTGATTAAAAGTTATGAATGCAATATTATAATTTAAATAACTTAAAATTTATTAACGCAAAATTTATTAAATAAGTTGCGATTAGATAATTAAACTTAAGATAATGATATCTTTATAGCATTATGAAAATTAATATGCTTTTATATCATGAATTCAAAGACTGATATAATTTTCACAATTAAATAATTGTGATATAACTTAATCTGAAAATATCAATTTTGCTTTCTAATTAATAATAATTGATAAATCTCTTCTTCACATATTGTCTTTATGTAGTTACCGCTACGCAACAATTCCTTTTTCTTTATTTTACATCTTGTATTCTTAATTTAATTTAATGAGAAAAGTATGAAATATCATGAAATTTGTTGATACTATTAATAATTGCGTTATAGTGTTCGAAAAATATTGTAATATATATTGTAAATATATATTCTTTTTTTTATGTAATTAATTTATATAAATATATATATAAATTTTACACGTATACAAGTATATTATATAATTTTATGATTAAAATTATATAATAAATAAATGTTAAATATATAATCATAATCTTTGTTATCGACTTCCCTTATATTATTTAAACAATAAATATTTATTTTCTATTATTGTTTTAAAATAATTTTGACATTTTCGATATATTGTTCATGTCTTTTGAAGTTATCTAGCTTTTTTATAACAAATAGTTTTATAATACTAATAGTTTTATAATAAAAAACTTCTCATTATGCGACACTACAGTTCTTTTGTACAAACTACTTGATTTCAACCGATTGAAATTTATCTTCGGTTGCTTTCACATGCAATGTAACTTGCGTCAATTAATCAAATCGTATCAGCTATTATGCATTATTTTAGTTAAGATAATTTGATTGCCTGACAAGTTACGCTTACGCAAGTTATGCTGCATGTGACGGCACTCTAAGAAATTGGCCAATCACAGACTACATTTAAACAACTCGATTTACGCAGAAATTATGAATCGATATTACAAAACTGGCCAATCATAGTTATTCCTCTGAAGAATGGAATTACTGTGATTGGCCAATTTCTTAACATCGATGTTGTAACTTCGGCGTAAATCGAGTCATGTAATATAGTCACAATTGATGAATATGAAAAAATCGATTATGATTAGTTAATTTCTTATGACTTAATTAATTTCTAGCGACTCTATTGTAGAACAGGCTTAACTGGCGCCTGGCGGAAGCGCTTCATGCGCCGCCGCCGTCCGGAAGTGAGCTCTGACGTAGATTAGGTATCGCAACCGAGCATACGCTTCCATTTTCTCGAGCATCTCGGACGGATCGGTGAGCACGTGTTGTGTTTAGCCGGTCTCCACGCTCGCACGTCGATTGGTTTAAGAGGAAGAATTTTACGTGTAGCAACGTACTAGTTGCAGTCACCCCTCACTTGTGCGTGCCCGCCGCCTCGTGCACGACAGAGGTTAAAGCATGAATCCCGAGAAGCTCAAGAAGCTCCAGGCTCAAGTGCGAATCGGTGGCAAGGGTACACCCCGACGCAAGAAGAAGGTAGAAGCATCGTATTATACATTTCAGTTATCTGATTTTTCGTTTTTAACTTAGAAAAACTTCGTTCGTGCACTTTGCTTTATCGCCCTTCGATGTGATCCATGTCCACCGTCAACATTAATATACATGTCGATTCTTAAATTGGAGTTACTTAATACTACGCGTGACATCGCAAGATTCTTATTACAAGGGCAAAAAGAATGTGAATTTATTAGCTGTCCATTTCTTTATATTTCACATATATTTATATTTCTTGTTGATGTCATGTAGATTTGTCATAAATGGAATTATTTTTATATTTCTTCCTAGTAATTGACTTTTGATCTGATTTTTGTAGTAAGTATTAACTGAAGATAACTATTTTTTTATTCGTTAGAGTACTCATAATATATGAATTGTAATTAAATTACCAAAAAAGGAAGAAGTAAACATTTGTGCCTTATAGGAATAATTTTAAACACAGCATTAACATTTAATTTAATATCTTGCGATAGAATTAAATATTGTTTTTATGCTTATGTTATTTTTTATTCTTACAGGTTGTACATGCAACTGCTGCTACAGATGACAAAAAGTTACAGAGTTGTCTAAAAAAGCTTTCTGTAAATACAATTCCTGGAATAGAGGAGGTTAACATGATTAAAGATGATGGCACAGTCATTCATTTTAATAATCCGAAAGCTCAGGCTAGTCTGTCTGCTAATACATTTGCTATTACTGGTCACGGAGAAAATAAACAAATAACTGAAATGCTACCAGGCATATTGAGCCAACTTGGCCCAGAGGGTTTAACACAACTGAAACGATTAGCAAGTACAGTCGCTGGAAGTGCAGTCGGAAAAACTACATTGGAAGAGGACGATGAGGTGCCCGACTTAGTAGAGAACTTTGATGAAGCTAGCAAAGAAGAGGTAAAGGGATAATTAAAATAATACCTAATGATATTCTTATTAAATAATAATTGATAAAATAATTTAAAAAATATAATTTTACAAAATTTGATGCATTTATATATATATATATATATATATAAAATGTATATTTTGTATTGTTATATTATGTTGTATTTGTATTAAACTATAATCTCATTTTATTGATATTGCAAAATTAATCTCGTTTTTTATATTTCAAAAATTACAAACAAAATTAAATGTGTTACACGATTGTTATATAATAATAATGACAGATTGATACATTAGCATAAACAACCGCGTTGGTTTTAATGCTTCGTAATATTCTTAAATATAAAATTAAGTACATTATTTGTATAAAAGCATATTTAATATATAAATATTGTCTACGATATTTAAAGGTGGCTCCTAAAAAGGAACTGGATGAAAATGATAAACCTAATGGTGAAAAGAAAGACGCCATTATTATTGAAGAAAAGAAAGAAGCCCCGTTAGCAACACCTGAAGCTTAAGAATAAATGCTAAGGTAATTATAATTGATGTATCCACATTTTTGCGGATTTACTAGTATAAAAATAATATGTAATATATATCATTTTTTCAGATATTTCATACAACAAAGTTGTAACAAATAAATAATATGATGAGTCAAGAGAAATACATGGCGCAGAAATAATAAAGCATAACTATACATTACAAATACTTGACATACGCCCCATGATATTTACTAATACAAGTAACAGTTGACAAAATAAAAAAAGCTGTTACAAAAATCAAAAGGATTCCCAGAGGTTTTTTTATTATTTTGGTGCTACCAGTACAATAGTCTTTGCTTCGAATTAGTCAACATGTTTTTATAGCTTCTAGTTAATATCGTGTGACGCTTTAATTATTTAAGATATTAACGGAAACTTGAGCATTTAACTCAATTACAGAGAGAATTGTAACAGAATTAATATTATGCTGCAAATTTTGTTATTAATACATTGATATGAGAGATGCATAGTATTTTTTCTTTCATAAGTCCAATGATTTTTATACAGTTATATGTGAATTTTTTAAATTTCATTTTGGTCAAATAAAATATTTAATAATATAGTTAAATTATAAAAATAATAAGGCTCAATAAATTTAAATAAATGAAAGAATAAAGGGCTACGAGCCTAAAAGTCAAATAACAATTAACAATCTAAATTAAACGGTTAAAAAATAAAATAAACAATATCATGAAATTAAAAAAACATGAAATATAATTTAAAAATCAGTAAGTGAACAAGAACAAACGTTTCAATCCCTGTTGAATCATTTTCAATGTGAAGACAAAATAAAAATGAAAAGTAATAAAAAAGGTTCTGTATTAATAAACAAAAGGTAGTATAAAAGAAGGGCAAAGAGCCAATAACGTATAAAAGAATTATAATTTAGATAAGCAAAACTAATAAAAAACAATTAAAATACAATAAAATAAAACAAACGTTTCAACTCCAATCGAGTCATTTTCAATGCAATCTTACAATAATATAAATATCGTTCTAAATTAAAAATTCGTACATAATCTTACAATATTCTTACAATTCCTTAACAAAAAATTTTTTCTTTCTGTGTAATACGCTGTGAGTCATATTTATCAGATCAAGAATTAACAAAGTCATAAGAAAATTCTGGAAAAGTAACCGTAAACAAAAAGAATTAATATTAATCACATAAAAATTAATAATATGATAACATACCTTAGTAAATCTGTTAAGAATCCAATAATACACAACGAGAAAAAAATGTAAAATGTGGTCCATTTCGTGGTACAATAAAATAGTCTTTTTAATTTAATTTATTATAAGCAAAGGGGTTGATATCTGAAATGGTCCATATTAAAAAACAGAAGCATGGGATTAATAGACAAAATGACACGGAGTCTTTGCCGGATTTGTATTCTGACATTATATTGGGTCATCTAAAAAGTATCCGCGGTACTTTGTCACTAGATATATGACCATCAACACAAATCTAGTGACAAAAAACCGCGGATACTTTTTAGATGACCCAATATAATGTCAGAATACAAATCCGGCAAAGACTCCGTGTCATTTTGTCTATTAATCCCATGCTTCTGTTTTTTAATATGGACCATTTCAGATATCAACCTTTTGTTGTATGAAGGCTCTATATCTAATATTTCCACTTTATCCCATTTAAAGTTATGATTCTCCTCCATACGATGGTTGGAAATCACTGATGGAGATTTTGAACTTATATTGATATCAGAAACATGTTCATGCAATCTGGTCTTTAATTGTCTTTTAGTTTAGCCAACGTAACTGCCATCACAATCCTCTAAGATATTCTGTAGACCACATTTTAATTCTGAACGTGTTCTAAATCATCCTTTCCTCTCCTTATGAAACTTCTTAATGTGTTAGAAATAGCTAATTTACAATTAAACATATTAACAATAGGTATAAATCTTTCGGATATTGAATTAACATATGGAATCGTAAAAAATTTCTTCTCAGTATCATCCTTATTCTTATTCAAATTATTACTGTTGTGCTTCGAATAATGAACTGCTTAATAAAATTACATCTAACAATGTCATTAATGACATTCCTGTCCAAAAAGAAGGGGAATATAAGAAGGAGAAAATAAAGTAGAGAGAAGAGAAAGTAGGGAGAGAAAAAGATAAATAAAGGAAGGAAAGTAAATTAAAAAGGAGAGATTGGAGATAATCTGTGAGTAGGTTTCAGGTAAAGATTCAGTATCATTTTGTTTATTAAGACCCTGTTTCTGTTTTTTAATATGATAACTGATCATCGAATTAATTGTAATCATAATTTTAAATGGAACGATGTGAGAATTCTAGACTGCGAATCTTCTTATAATAAGAGATTTGTGTCTGAAATGATTCATATTAAAAAACAGAAACTGTGTATTCCACAATACATGATTTCTGATAGGTTGATATTCTTATTATCTGTTCCTTTTATTGTGCGGAGCTCCTAAGAAAGGAATACTCGAAAGTGATTAATCAATTTTGACAGATTACGGCATACGAATGGTGGAAAGGATAACATGATGTTGGATAGTGTTTCTTTTTAAATTTCTGCCCTCTCCGTCTATAGACTGTTCATAAGGAGGAAGCTACGAACTATGAAACGTGCTAAACATGGGACAGTATTTATAGTCCGTTTTTATTTTAAAACTGTCTTAAATAATGTCTTAAGATGTTAATACAGCCCTCGGATTGACTTATGACATCTTAAGACTATACTTAAGTGCAAGAATTCGACTATGAATATCGGCTTGTTTCGCGTTGTGAAAGTGGTATACTGAAATCTTTCCTTGTACAAGAATATATACAAATATATATAGATATATTGATTCTTTTTCTGCATTTTTTATTTATATCAAACTATATTTCAAATTATATTCAGTAATTAAAAAGAATTATTTTTAATAATAGTTGCGCGCGCGCGTAAACACATTGTACTACACATTGCTACGACATTACAACACAATCGTGCTGAAGGCAGACATTTTTATGATGCTATAATATTGCAACAATGTTTCAAATACAATCGTTGCGCAATCTATTTACAATATTTACAACAATGCAATGAGATATATATGTCAATCATTTTGGAATCTTTCTGCTGTATATTTAAAGTAATAAGGGGCTGAAATATTTTAATTAACAAACTTTATTTATATTCGTGTTTGAATACATCCATTACCGAAACCACAGTGCATTCAAATATTAAAGAGACGCTTCGTCTCATGATGTAATATTGCAAACAGTTGTTATTTGCACGTACATATACATACACACATGCCCATATACTCATAACATACGCATATACATATCCATCTATAATTGCATTCTACAAGTGTTTTTCCGCCAAAATCATGAACACGTGACATAACACACATCGTTAGCCTTCCGATATGAATTGCAAGTGAATTCGGTGTCAAATACTATCGTCAATTAATAATGTTTTATCATTGATTACCGATTATTCCGGCAAATCGATCATGCGCCTGTCGAATCCATCATCAAACATCAAACGCGCTAAGAATACGTTTCTATGCGTACACTTAGGCAAATAATACAAAAATAATTCAGAGGGGTACATTTTGTCGCTTTGCGTTGGAAATTTTTTAATTAACTGGCAAATCGTAAACCCCTCAATATATCGAGTGGATCAAAATCACTTCGTCGAAAGAGAACTGACATAATAATCAGTAATCGATTGTTAAGGTAGTTTATGTTAAATAAATCTTAATTATCTTTTGTAGTATTAATTCTGTCAGCATCAACCAATCTCATCAATATTATATATTTCAAATATATATTATTTTTCATTTTTATTTTGCATAAATATAAAGCTTTTCTTTATTTGAATTTATTCGTGACATCGTGTTTTTTGATCCACCTTATATCTTTCATTTTATCTCTTCAATTTTTTACAATCTATTTTCCATTTTCTATTTTTTTCGTTTCATATTCACAGGCTAGTCTGCGATCACTGAACTATAATAATACTGAAACTCTCTTTCCAGTCCTTTTAATATAAGCCTTGCACGAAATGTTTACATCCAGAACGTGAGAGAGAGAGAAAGAGGAGAGGGGGGGGGGGAGAGAGAGAAAGAGGAGAGGGGGGGGGGGAGAAGAAGAAAGGAAGAGAGAATTGGAAAGAAAATTTATTTCTTTTCTTTTCTATTTATAGTTGTCTCGAATTGGGACACAGTTGTGCTTCAATTTATCTTTAGTTCTTTTTTTATATAATCAATCTTTTATACATCAATAATATGCATAATGAAGAAAAGGTTGGGATTGAATCCTATTAAGTACGTGTCCTTTACGGAATATTATGCCATTTCAATTCTTTGCTTTCACAAGAATATAAGTTCTATTTTTCTCTTCCATTTCTATTAAATCTTTTGAAAGAAAAAAGAAACAGATATAACTGGTGAAAATTTTTCTCAGAATTCTTTATATAATTTTTTAAAATTTCTATATGGCTTTATAGCTTTTTAAAAAAATTCTTAGATTTTTTTAAATATGATTTGGAACACTTTCAGAGATGCTAAGTCTACATCTTTTCTAGCATTCTTCATATATATGTGAATTCTTAAATATTTTTAAGAATTTCTCATTCTATAATTTTCAAATAAAATTTATAAAATTTGAAGAAGATATTTTTAAGATATTTTTTTCAAAAAAATTTTAAAATTTTTATAAATTTGAAATATAAAAAATTTTTGATAATGTAAGCTGAGAAATTTTTTCAGGAATATTTTTTCAAATGAATTATCTTTTCTATCCCTCTCAGATCTTTTTTTAAGTGCATCGGAGCGTTCCAATATTAATATAGTTTGATACCTGTGATAATTTAGGCACAGGGGAAAACCTGATTATCAAAATGATTCACACGTATATAAGGAGATGAGATGCTTAGCAGGGTTCGCGCTTAATTGCTAGACTTTTTTAGCCAGAGACTTTTTGTCGCGTTCAAAATTGAAAGCACGATTCTAGCAAGGCATCGATTATGTGTAAAAAATAATTCTTCGTCTAAACATCTGTAATCTAAAAGTATACTCCCTACTCGATGTGCTCCTTATAGAAATAAGTTCTTTTTTGTTTCTCCCTCTTATTAACTTTTCACAAGCATTTTCGCTGTTCCGTAGACATTATACAATTTTTTATTAAAAAGTCCTGTAGTTTATATACGCACATACACGCGATTATAATATACAACAATTTCCAAATCCGACCGCGCTGAATGATATCGCTATTCGTTATTTTAGAGAACATTATTACATGCTACGTCCATATGAAAATCGATAATTATAATTATGTATCTAAATGTCAGATTAATTGATATAAGTCGCTTTCAATTAATGTCCTTGTTTTATGTGATGTTAAACGCGGTAAATGGATTCACCATTCAATTTATACAACCATTTATACATAATCTTATTCTTAATTCTTTGTTTTTTTGTTGAT